GCGACTTGATACAATGGATAACGGTCATATTTTTTATTTTTGTGGTCAAAGAATGGAAATCAAACGAGGGCTGAAATTCACTTATTTTTCACATTTTTGTACTTTTGCACAACAAACCTGTTGGAGGGCCACACTCAAAGCCAAGCCAAAAAACAGGGGGCTAATGTGGCGGCCTCTTATTGAAGGGGTGTCTCACGCATCTTGTAAATTCACTTATTTTCAACATTTCAGTACTTTAGACCTGTTGGAGGGCCAGGTTCCAAGCTAAGCCTCCTATTTTTTGGCCAGGCCTGGCGAAACAAGTTTATACACAAAATCATTCAGTGGATGACGAAAATGTCCATCTATCTATTAAATCGTCACATGACTTTAAAATAATAATAAGTTCTTTTTTATTTTTCTAAAAATGTGCATTGAAATTCAGTTCAAGGTCAACATTAAGTCCTTGTTTGAGCCTCATTTTAAGGGAAACAATGCATTTTTAAATAGTAATTGATGGAGAATGTGTGGTTAAAAATTAAGGAAAAGTTTTAAGTTTGTGTGTAATATTATTTTATTAAAAAATATGTGGTTGAAAATGAATTTTGAAAAAAAAAATAGGGCTCAAACAAAGGTTAAATTTTAATCATATATTTAATGGAATTCATAATTTTTCAATCATATATTTTATCAATTTTTATTAAAATTTACTAAAAAATTGACTTTTTTTATCCAAACCAAACGGGACTCAAGTTTCACATCATTCAGTTAAGGTAAATTTTGCATGTATCAAGTCAATTTGACACGTACATGAACGAATCTTTTTGTGATGCAATAGGCACACTTTTAAATCAATGCAAATGGAAACTTCCATTAAAGTCAATGTTTTCTAGAATTGCAGCTTGTCTGGTTTAGCAATGGGTGACGCAAATTTTCCAGTTGTTGACATATTGTCACTAAAAATGTTTTAATAATAAAATAAAATCTCTTTTTGAAAGCCAATATACTTTTTCTTACCTAAAAATGTATATAATGTCAATTTTTAAGCAGTTTTCACATTAAAGCATTGGTTTATTAAGGGTTGACTATAGCTTTAGTAAATTCAACCGTTAGTCGACAGATGTAATCAATTTGATGACTTACTTGACCACCTTCTCAATTCCAAAAACATGTAGGAACTGGCCATTTGGTACCTATGAACTTGTATTGAACACACATGTAAGGTACCTATTGTTTTAGATTTTGGCTAGGATAATTACGGACTCGTGCAACATGTGCTAAATATATAGTGGGAAGACCAATTGAGTGATCCCAGCAAATAGAGGACTAACTTGTGCATTCCACATAGCCAAAGGAACAACTTCACATCAAGAGGACCACAAATTTCTATTCATATAGTTGGAGAACCATTTTATGTGATTCGGTTAGTTAGAGAACCAACTTGTATAGTTCGGTTAGTCAGTGGACCAACCAATGAAATTCAATTAGTTGGAGGACCAATTCATGTTGAACACATAGATAAACGACCAACTTGAGCTAGGCATATAGTTGAAGAATTACATAGTGTGAGGACCAAATAGTGAGATTCGAATAGCTGAAGTGCAAGACTTCTACGATTCGTAAAGTTGGAATCTTTTGAACTAGCGACATAGTTGGAGGAGCAACTTTATATATGAATAGATAAACTGTAAGCCATTATATGAGTAACATGAAAAAAAAAAAAAAAAATTTTTTTTTTGCCTACAAAGGATGTTATCACGTGAATGGTCCATTGAGTTGAAGATGAAATTTAAATATATTCGTATAACCTTTATTTAATAGTTTATGTTTTTAGATGATCGGAGAAATAACCTACCAAGTATTGTTACTTAGTTTTAAAAATAATGACATAGAAACAATGACACGTCGCATATCGATTAACATCAAGTAAGATGATTAATATGATCTTATATATCTAAATAAAAGACCTTGATTTGAGTTTCGTCACTCGTTGTTTCTTAAAGAATGTGTACTGTTAGGTTTTTGATTGGTAAAATAAATATAACTTATATATGCGGAGGATGCGTTAATAATAATATTTAAAAAAATATAGTTAGGGTTTGTTTGAAACTAATTTTTCTAAAAAATAAATTTTGTAATTGTGATATTTGGATAACGTGTGGTTTTAAGTAGAATTTTTTTTTTTTTTAGTTTGCGTACAAAATTATTCTATTAAGAGAATATGTAATTGATAAAGTTCAAACATGTGCATTTCCAGAAAACTCTCTACACATAAAATACTTTATATTTTAGAGAGTCAATACTTAAAAATAAGCTCCAATAGACTCTATTTTATGTTTAACAGCGTCTCCAATACTCTTTATTTATAAAGAGAATTTTATACATTATATAGAATCAGATTGTCTTTAGAATTGGATAATCAAAATTTTTATGTACTCCAACAATGCTATCTATTTGACTTCTCATTTTCCTTTTATCAAGAAACATTTATTTCTTTCTCGTCATATTTTATTTAATATGATTTTTTATACGTCAATGATCGATCAATTTAAATATGATTTGAATAGTTTAAGTGGCAGAGTATTGAAATTTGTTAGTAATTAAATGCTATAATTGTACATTAAAAATAAAGAATAAGTTTGAGTCTCTAAATTTGGAAAGTCAAACACACTCTATTTTAAAAAGTTAAAATAGATAGTTTTTGAAGCTTTTTTTAAACATTATCTTTTTAAAATAAAGAGTATTTTATATTTGAGGAGTTTCTTGGAGATACTCTAAAATAAAGAATGGATTTTGTTGAAAATTTAAATTTTAATAAATATGAAAACCTAATTACTTTATTTGCTAAGATTCTCATGCTAAATCACCAAAAAAATCAATGATGCGGAATATACCTTAATTATTTGAGAATGATTTTTTATTACTAGATTTTGAATCTTGAAAGTCAACTTGGGATCCTCTCTTGATTGGTTTCTTGCTTTCAATCTTGATTGCCTTGTTCGATTATTTAATTATTGTTCTTAGTTTTCTTCTTGATACATAAACTTGACTCTTGAATTTATTCATCTTGATTCTTAATTGTGGATTGTATGTTCTTAATTGTGAGTTTTAAATCTTCCTCTTTAGCATGTATTCTCTCTTGATTATTTTGTTGATGAGATGACACAAAGAATGAGAAGTTATATATAAATTGGGAATCGTGACCCTATATATAATTTTCATATGTATTTCGTCTATCATGAAATACAATTTTAAAGGAATCCGATCTCTACGCACATAATCCGGCCCTAAGCCCAATTACTTTATTCTTTATTATATCACTTTAATTTTGAATTTAACTTTAAAATAGCATTTATACAAAATTAATTACATATATTGGCCTACATGGCAAATTAATAATTTCCCAACATGTTTGATTCTTTAAATTTGAAGCATCAAAACTGACTCTATATTTTTAGTTAACAATGATTGTATTTAATAGATTACAAATTTCAATACTATCAAATTTAAATTATTCAAATCATATTTGAATAGATTGTTCATTCGTGTGTATATATATAAATTAAGTTAAATAAAAGATGAGAAAAAATTAATAAATGTTCATTGAAAAATAAATAAATAGTCAAAATAAAAGCAAGGTTTGATTGTAGGTATGTTCTCTATTAGCCATAATATATTCTTTAAATATAAAAAGTGTTTTGGACATGTTCTTAGCCTTTGTTTGATTCTCATTTTTAGAATAATATACATTACGTAATAGTAATTTTTTTTGGAGAATGTGTGATTAAAAAGTAAGATTTGTTTGAAATGCGTGCATAATCATTTTATAGAAGAATGTGTAGTGAAAAATAAATTTTGAAACAAATACATTCTTAAAAAAAGGGGGTTCAAGCAATGACTTAGTATATAGTTGTGTAGAAGTTAATTATGTATCCAAAATAAATTGAATTTCAATGATATCTTTGACCATAAATCAGAAAATACAAGGACAAAACGGAAAATCGAATGCTTTCTACCTAATAAAAAATGATGGGGACATGTGTTGTACAGATTTAAAGAAATTTCAAATATGTGAAGTTGTGCGATAAAAAAATAAGGTTCTGTTTGTGTCCCTTTATTTTCAAGAAGTGTGTTATGAAATAGTGATTAATGTTGAAATGTGTGGTTGAAAAAAAAGATTTTTTTTATTTATGTATAATATTATTTTAATAAAAAAATTGTGATTGAAAATGAGTATAGTAGGAAAATAATGTGGTAAAACGACCGACAAATAAATGCTAAATTTTCATCTTAAATAATTTTGAATTCAATCTACCATCATCCAAAAATCATTTTAAATTATACTGAATTAACCGTACCATTATCCAATCCAACTGTCATTTTAAATTTTGTTTAAAACAAAAATGTGTAAACAAAAACATTTGATTCACTTAAACTTTTTTTTTTTTTTAACTACGTTGAATGCATGAATAAAATTTGACTAATACGATAGAATTTCATTAATAGCGAAAACTCTAAAAATATTTTATTACGAAAATGTATAATTAAAATGAGTATTTTGGAAAAAAAAAAAGAAAAAAAGAAAGAAGAGTTTTCCAATAATGATAGTTATACAGTGGCTAAAGTTGGGAATCGACATATCAAATGCTAGAACTAGTTTGCTAATGATACTAGAGAGCAGGGATTAAGTGCATGTTTGGTATAGATTTTTCATTTAAAAAATTATTTTTTTGATCGTATTTTACTATTTAAGTCATCGTTTTTGACTTTTTTTATTATTATGATCCACTTTTTTTTCTAATGATTAAAAAATTAATTCTCAAAATCACTATTGAAAAAGTCTTAAATTTGATTGATTAAAATAAATACTTTGACCATTTTTAGGTGGGACAATAATGTTTGTATTAATATTAATAATATTAATTATTAATATAGTACACATAGTGGGTCCCACTAGGAGGACGTGGGTGAAAACAGATACCTAGGCAGTGACGCTGTTTTAAGCGCACTCTCCTTCACTCCTTCAAACCACTCTCTCTTGTTTCTCTCTCTAAAATCTTGTTTCTCTCTCTATAATCCAGGGCGTTAAAGCGTCAGTTTTAGGGTTTCTAGCTACTGTCATACCCCTTTTAGCCTTCTTCTTCAACTTTAGGTACGTGGATCTTTATCCATTAGAGTACTTTTTTATGCGCGATTGTCTGGTAAATTTCTGTTAAATTGTTTATTTTGCTGCATTTTGATGAAATCTGTTGATTTCCTCAAACTTGTGTTTTTGTGAGTTTTTGAAGATGTTTTTGTAAGAATCTGACCTTTTTCCTCTGCATAATCGTGTTTTTTGTCACTCGTGTTCGCCCAATTCATGACGTTGAAATCCAGTCATTTTAGGGGTTCTTCGTTCTCTATCTTTTACTCCATCTTCTTCTCAAAATCTCGTCTTTTTGGTAAAATTGTTGTACGCTCAAGCCCATTTTTTAGTTTGATTTTGTGTCAAATTTCAGGGTTTCTTAAAATTCACTGTAAATTTTGTTTATGTTTGCTGCATATTTTTGAAATCTGTTCATTTTTTTGGTTAAATACTGTGATCAAAGCCGATTTATAGATTTACGCTTTCTGTTTTGTGGGTTTTTAAAGGTGTTCCGTAATAATTTCGAGTTTTTCTCTCTCTCACAAATCTTGGTTTTTAGGGTTTTGTTTCTCCTTTTTTGTGCAGCCAGTTACATTTCCACTTCTTCTCTCACACTCTCGGAGTTTTTAGGGCATGTTTTCTTGAAATCCCCTCTATTCACACTGTTTGGGCATTTTTGCTGTTATTTTTATATTTTACCAACAAACAGCTGTTATAATTTGTCATATAACCTTATCTTCATAAATCTTGTTTCGAATTTGTGGGTTTTAAAGTGTTTAATAAGATTCTTTCTCTCTTTTTGCTTTTGTTTTCATATTTTTTTTAAATGCTTTGCAATTTTCTGATTTACTTTACTTCGATTTTTCTTTACTCTCGCCAAAAATAGTTTTTGACGAGTTGGTTTTATTTTTAATGCATTTCCCCTTCATTTTTGGTCTCATGCAATTCGATTCTTTGGTGTCAGATGAAGCAGTTCTTTTTTGTCGGTGGAGGATATTTGTGTCTGCTTAAAATTAGCTTTTTTAGCCGCTTCTGTTTTTCTGTATACCATCATGCATGCGCCATTTTGATCCATTTTTTCCCTTGCTCTGGTCATGGACTAGTTTGCGCTTTTTAGCTGTCTGGATCTGCTTAAAATCAGTTCTTTAGCTGCTTTTCTTCGCTAATTCTTTTGTGGGTTGCTATATCGCTTTCCAGTATGCTCCATTTTGGTCTTATTTTTTCTATGGCTGTTGTCATGTACTAGTTTATGCCCTGTTAACTGTGTTTCTTCAAGTTTCTCGGGTTTTCACTCCTTCTTCTCCTTTTCTCTTCATTTTGGTTAATTTTACTTATATATTATCAGTTGTTGCCAGACTTTCAGAATCGTGAGGCTTTACTAAGAAATCTGACAATGGATCCCTCCGAACAAGCTCATAATGGGGAACAAGAGCATAATGGGGTTAAGGAGCCTGAACAAGAACATAATGGGGCTGCAGATCCTTTGCCGCCTCCCCCGCCTGTTCCTCCAAATGTTACTCCAATCAAAGCCGAATCAGAACAGGCAGTAAAAAAGGTTTTCCGTGCTCCAATGGCTAGACGAGGCACGGGTACCAAGGGAAATAAGGTTCCTATTCTGACTAATCACTTCAAAGTGAATGTCTCCAATGTTGATGGGCACTTCTTTCATTACAGTGTATGTCTCTGTATCCACAATCTTTGGTCTTCTCTATTTTGATCGTATTATTTCTTTTTACGTTTTTTGCTGAAGAATGGCTGCTTACTTGATTCGCCTCCCCTGATTTTGATTTTTCTTAGGTTGCCCTGGCCTATGAAGATGGCCATCCTGTAGATGGGAAAGGTATCGGAAGAAAAGTGTTGGACAGAGTCCACCAAACTTATGATACTGAGTTGGCTGGCAAGGAATTTGCCTATGATGGGGAGAAAAGCCTGTTTACTGTAGGCGCACTTCCGAGAAATAAACTCGAGTTTACTGTTGTGCTTGATGATGTTACTTCAAATAGGTTTGTCAGAACTTCTGTCGTTTTAACTTGTTTTTAATTATATTTGATGTTTGTGTCTTTTTATGCTACTGCATGGTTTGTATGCAGGAACAATGGAAATGCTAGTCCTGGCGGACCTGGAAGTCCTAATGAAAGTGACAAGAAAAGGTTCAGGCGACCATATCGATCCAAAACTTATAAAGTAGAGATAAGTTTTGCTGCCAAAATCCCCATGCAGGCGATTGCAAATGCTTTACGCGGTCAGGAATCTGAAAACTCCCAAGAAGCCTTGAGAGTTTTGGATATCATTTTAAGGCAGCATGCTGCAAAGAAGTAAGTTCTTCTAGCTTGAAGTGGTATATGACATGAATTAGATTATGTCAGTCTATGCTAAAATGTTACTTTTCTTGAATGTAAGCCAAGACTTAAGTTTTAAGCGTATACTTTCTGAAAAGGTAAGTTAAATAGTAAAATAAGTATATTTTGCAAGACATGTTTTGCCAAATAATTTTAACCAAGTCTAACTGGCTCCCATCTCTTGAAGTCGTTATGACATGAATAATTAACCATATGGTCAATGTCAGGGGTTGCCTACTGGTTCGTCAATCTTTCTTTGACAATAACCCGAGGAATTTCACTGATGTTGGAGGAGGAGTTCTTGGCTGTCGTGGATTCCACTCGAGTTTCCGAACCTCTCAGGGAGGTTTGTCTTTGAACATAGGTAATACTTTCTTTGCATAATTTTTCCTCATTATCTTTTTTTACAGAGTCATATTCGTGTTTTATAATTTTGTTGCAATTGTTTAATTACAATGTTATTCATTTTTATGTTTTCAGACGTATCTACGACTATGATAATTCAGCCTGGTCCTGTGGTAGACTTTCTTATAGCGAACCAAAATGTGAAGGATCCCTTTTCTATCGACTGGGCAAAGGTAAGGAACTATTTCATCTAGGCATTTGTATGCGTTTAATTGAACTACTTCTTTAACCAAAATTGCTTTCTCATTGCAAGCAAAATCTACTACAATTTGAACTCCTCAGGCAAAACGTGTCCTAAAGAATTTGAGGATAACTACGAGTCCTACTAACCAAGAGTACAAAATTACTGGATTAAGTGAGAGGCCTTGCAAAGAGCAATTGTATGTTTCATCTGTTCTATTCAATCTTCTTATTTATTTATATTTTCACTTTTCTGGTTTCCTTTACTTGGCATTAGCTGAAGTTTTTTTTTTTTTCCTCAAAATTTCAGGTTCTCACTGAAGCAGAGAAACAAGGATGATGCTGGTGAAGCTCAAACCACTGAAGTGACTGTCTATGATTACTTTGTTAATAGCCGCAATATTGATTTGCGCTATTCTGCCGATTTACCTTGTATCAATGTTGGCAAGCCAAAACGTCCAACTTACTTCCCTATTGAGGTAAAATCTTGTATCAAAATTCAACATTTTTATATTATGCATTTCTTCTTGAGTTTATTACTGATGGAAGATAAACACCACTGGTCTCTGGAAAACAGGAGTTTACTTGGTTTGCTTTTGTCCTTGCAGCTATGTTCCTTGGTGTCCTTGCAACGGTACACCAAAGCTCTCTCCACCTTTCAGAGAGCTTCCCTTGTGGAGAAGTCACGTCAAAAGCCACAAGAGCGGATGTCAACTCTGAGCGGCGTACGTTGTTATTTTTGTAGAGCTGTGATTTTATGTTGGCTTTGATTAACCGGTGTTGGGTTGTGGCAGGCTTTGAAAAGTAATAACTATGATTCAGAGCCTCTGCTTCGTTCTTGCGGCATTTCTATCAGCAGTAACTTTACACAGGTTGATGGCCGTGTTTTGCCAACCCCGAAGGTATGTTTTTGAGTTATTTTATGCTCGAAGTGTTGTATCTCCATATTTGTTTTATTGTAATCTTGTGTTATTAAGGTGGGTGGAGAGGTTTCAACCTATCTTTTATTTTCTATCTGCAGTTGAAAGCTGGGAATGGAGATGATATATATGCTAGAAATGGAAGGTGGAACTTCAATAACAAGGTTTGCCTTGTGCTTATCTGATCATAGCTATAAATTAACTTGCCAATTTCTATTATTATTTTTATTTTAAAACACATTTATATTGGTGGACAGAAATTTGTTAATCCCAGCAAGGTAGAACGATGGGCTGTTGCCAACTTTTCAGCTCGCTGTGACGTACGTGGCCTTGTCAGGGATTTGATTAAAGTCGGAGAAATGAAAGGAATTGTATGTTCTGCTAGATTCTTTCATGCTTACTGTGGTTACTCTATGAAATTTATTTGGTAATCTGTTTTAATTCTTTCATGCTGTCTTCAGAGTGTGGAGGCTCCGTTTGATGTCTTTGAAGAGAACCCACAGTTCAGACGGGCTCCACCGCTTGTTCGGGTAGAAAAGATGTTTGAAGAAATTCAGTCAAAACTTCCTGGGGCTCCCAAGTTCCTTCTCTGTTTGCTTCCGGAGAGAAAAAACTGTGACATATACGGTTTGTTATTTAACGAATTTTTGTTGCTATAAATTATGCACAAAAATTAGAGACAGCTTTTAAACCTGCACAAAACTTTTAAGGTCCATGGAAGCGGAAAAATCTAGCCGATTTTGGGGTCGTGACTCAATGTCTGGCTCCCACCAGAGTTAATGATCAGTATCTGACTAATCTTCTTTTGAAGATCAACGCAAAGGTAAAAGATACTCAATGAAATTGTGTGTTGTGTTTAATATTATGAGATTTTGCTGTGATAATCTCAAAATTTTGAAAATATATCATGTCCCTCGCATTCTTGTGTTTTTACAGCTTGGTGGCTTAAATTCTGTCTTAGCCATTGAACAAAATCCATCTATTCCAATGATATCCAAGGTTCCATCCATAATTCTTGGGATGGATGTGTCACATGGCTCCCCTGGGCAGTCTGATATCCCATCCATTGCCGCGGTGAAGTGCTTCCTCTCTCGTGTTTGGTTGATATATACTTTTTATATTTTCTACATTATCCACTTATTGCAAGCGCTTTTGTGTTTACATTTTAAACAGGTAGTCAGCTCGAGGCAATGGCCATCGATCTCTCGTTATAGAGCTTCTGTTCGCACTCAGTCCCCTAAGGTGGAAATGATTGATTCTTTGTATAAACGTGTGTCTGACACTGAGGATGAGGGCATAATCAGGTGAGTTTTTTTTGTCTTGGGTTGGCATTATTAAAGCAAAGGCCGTTTCAGCAGCCATTTGATAGGTTAAAGTTCTTTGACTGTGCAAGCAATTAATTTGATCATGATTTGAACTGCAGGGAACTTTTGCTAGATTTCTATGTCAGTTCTGGAAAAAGGAAGCCTGATCAGATAATCATATTCAGGTGAATGGTTGTACTTCCACATTATAAATATACTATCGATCTCAAGCACACTTGATAAGTCATTCATCAAGCATATTGTTACCGCAAAAAGGTTTGCTGATTGTTACTGTTCCCCATGTGCAAAATATCAGGGATGGTGTGAGTGAATCACAGTTTAATCAAGTTCTCAACATTGAATTGAATCAAATTATAGAGGTAGTGACACTTGTCATATTTATGAACAAAATCAAAATCATGGATTTTGAACTAAATTGAAGAGAATTTTTGGGTTTTCAATCTTTTGTTTCATTGCAAAGGCCTGCAAGTTTCTAGATGAGAAGTGGTCGCCCAAATTCGTCGTAATCATTGCACAGAAAAATCACCACACAAAGTTCTTTCAGCCTGGGTCCCCGGACAATGTGCAGCCAGGTAAGTAATTTGTATTAATTGTGCAAAATATATACAGGAAATTGTTACTTGTATTCATTAAAAAGAGTTGCATGGTGAAGGCACATCATTCCATTGACTCCTACAACATTCTGATTTTCCAGGGACAATAATTGATAACAAAGTTTGTCATCCCCGAAACAATGACTTTTACCTGTGTGCTCATGCCGGGATGATAGTAAGTGTTTGCGTATCCTCTTATGACTACCTAGCTTAATGTAAATTATTTCTTCAGTAGTAAGAACAAAATTTTTAATACCTATGTATTATCATCTTGAAGTTGTATGAACTTTACCGGCTTGGCTAGCCAAGTTGAATGACTAAAATTTACCTTATTTTAAGGATGTTTTCTCAAGATTTGGGTATAAACCATACGTAATTTGATGTTAGAACTGCAATATGACTATCTGCATGCTTTGGTAAATTAGGAATTTAATTGGACTTTATATTGTCAATGCTTTTAGAAGTTTGGCCTCTACATCTTGAGGATTAAAATGCCATCAACACGTGCTGATTTTGTCATCTTTTATTTTTTTATTTTTTTAAAGGGGACGACCCGACCTACTCATTACCATGTCCTGTTAGACGAGGTTGGTTTCTCACCAGATGATCTACAGGAGCTTGTGCACAACCTTTCTTATGTGTAAGCGAATTATTTACTACAGTTAATTCACTCCTTAAGTTGAAACAATAAAAAGTATTTGGTTTATAATCTCATCTTTTCTTTATTCCAGTTACCAGAGGAGCACTACTGCTATATCTGTCGGTAAGACAAGATTTTTACTTCATTAGACTAGAGCCTCGTCTTTTTACAAATTTTGATGCCTAATTCATCTGTGCCTTGTGTATTTCCTGCTTTCATTTTCGTTTGTGCTCAACTGCAGTTGCTCCTATCTGCTATGCTCATTTGGCTGCTACCCAGTTGGGGCAGTGGATGAAGTTTGAAGACGCATCGGAGACATCGTCCAGCCATGGGGCGGCACCTGCAGGAGGTGGTCCTCCTGTGCCACAGATGCCTAAGTTACAGGAGAGTGTGCGTAATTCCATGTTTTTCTGTTGATGCATAGTTGCCCCATCTCGGCTTATGTATAAAGACCTACTTCGGCCTTAGTTTATGTCTAGGTTTATTTATGACTTCGCTCTAAGTTTATGTTTTGTGTTCGATCATGGACGGTTTTGAACCGGGTAGTCTGCGTGTTTATATCCTTGAGCTAGTCACCCATGAACTAGCTTGGTTTTCAATTTAGGATGCTCATGTTTTCTCGACTCTCCCGTGGGAATGGCTTGTGGCAGTTTGCCTAGTACTATTATGTTGTAAGTACTCTTTAGCAACTGTTTCGATGTTTTGAAATCATGCTCTTGGAATTTACTTTTCACTCGACATAATGTGGTGAGTTTTTGCAAGGATAGAGGCAAATCCAGTGAAGCTTTCAAAATGGGTTTTCTACCTTTTGTCATCTATAATGAAATCCTTCGCATATCTGCCTCATGCCCAATCTTCAAATTTTAAGTTCATATTTCTTTCCCATTCTCATTTTGGTCGGAATAGATCTATGAAGTCTTTGATTCCAGTTAGTTAGAGGGAACCCATTAGGACATTGATGCTACCGTTAGGTTTGAAACTTAATTCATGATTTGTTGACGATGCTCGACTCTTTCCAGAGTTACTCCGGGCCTTTTTGGTTTGTGGGTCATTCTGTAACAAATGATCCAAGGAGAGCTGATGGTGGAAGTGGAGTTCTTGGCTGCAGGAGTAGTCTAAGGCTCGAAAGGTGAGGTGGAATCCTTGATGGTCAAGAACCTCCTACATTTCCTTTCATCATTGTTGGTGAAAGATTGACGAGCAAATAAGCATTGAGTTACTTTGGTAGTAGCCAGGAATAACAACCCCAAAATCTGCTTCCAACTAGCAGACGGTACGAGAGATTCATCTTGGTTAAAGGAGGAACTTGGTCGTCCCTTTTTAAGTTTTTTGGAACTAACTTGTAAGGCTAAACAGTATTGCCTCATTTTATTAGATTAGTTTTATTGAGATTGAAATGATCCCCATTATTTCATATTATAATGAAAAAAAAAATAGTAATTTTTTTGAAGGATGTGTTATTAAAAAAGAATAAAAAGTTCTTGGATTTATGAATTATATTAATTTATTGAAGAATGTGTAATTGATGAGATGAGAGGAAAAATTGAATTATAATTTAATGGGGGGCGGGGGGCAAATGTGGGTAGACCTGACTACTCGAAAAACATTTACTTGTACGGCTCGAGAGTGAAACTCCAGGCCCATTTATTTCACGGAGTGTATGCCCCCATTAAATTTTCCAGTCCAATAGGCTGCTCTCTTTTGGCCCATTCATAGGTTTTGTAGGGCTTCAAACATTTATCCACTGCATGTGAACTATAAGACTTGCAATTCATTCATTGCAAGTATGAAATTTGTTTGGGAAAAAAATAAATTTTAGGTACTTCAAATGTCTAGAGCTTATTTGTATGGAAAATTGGAAATTGTCAATTAAACCCTTGTTTGTTTCTCATTCTTTCTCATTAAAATGAAACATATGATCGTTATTAATCATATCAATTCATTAAATTTGAATTTTTTTCTCTTGTGTGAGGTCCATAATAACTATATTTTTCATTCTCATTTTTATATAAATGGGAAACAAATGCTCCTTACATATGTTTGCTTAATTTAATTTTCAATCTAAGAAATATTATATTTATTTATTTTTTATTGGTAGGTAGATAAGAACGAATGGATAGAGGAGAGAGAGAGGGAGTGGATTTTTTGGAAAATAAAATTCTATTCCCCCTATAGAAAATAATTTCTATGATTTTGAAGAAAAATGTCATGTGATTAAAAGTTAAAGAAAATATTTTTCATAAAAAAAAATGGTAATCAAGTATGACAATAGTATGAATTTGAATGAAAAGAATATATTTTTTATAGAAAATATTGACGATCAAACGCACTTTTAGAAAATTTATGAACTTAGAGAGCGAAATTTTTTTATTACTCTCTTTATATTTAATATTTAATTTTATTATTCACAAAAAAATATTTAATTTTTTCTTATCCTTTACTTTCACCAGTTTTTCTTCAAATTATTATATTGTTTATCTCCACTAAAAATTTTGAGGATTGATTCTTTAAAAAAATAAGAAAATTTATATTTAAGTAGTCTATTGGAGATGTTTTCAGTTGATGTCTCAACAACATTCGCATGTAATTTTACTTCTCCCAAAATGTTTAGAAATTCAAAAGTTATTTGAAGTAACTTTTACTTAGCAGAACATTTTAAAATTACGAGAAAAACTTCCTTATGAAGAAAATTTACCAACAAGACTGCAGAGGATGTCTTCAATTGAGATTGTGATAAATTTTAAAAATATTTCTAAATTTAGGTGTCCTGAATTAAGATTATAAGGCAATTCTTTAAAATTTAGGTATCTTGAATTGAGATTTTATTGAAATTCAATAAAATCTTTTAAAATTTCGATTTCCTTAATAACTAGTGGATTTATAAATATTTCAGTAAGGGATTTTAAAAGATTTGGATGGATTTCAAGCTTAAAAATATATATAATCAAATCTTTTGAAATTTCACCATATTTGATGAGATTTTTATGGAATTTATGAAAATCTATTCAAATTCACTGAAATCATTAGGATTTATAATCTTTTAAAATTAATCAAAATCTTAGTTGAGGACACCCTCGTACATCTCAACATTTTTTTGTTCTAGTCTGCACACATATTTTATTAATGTAGTATGGTGTGCCTAATTTCTCTTCTTTTTTTTTTCAATTCTCTTATTGGATGTATGTCTTGTTTGGCAGAGTTTTTAAAAAAGGTTACTTATAAACCAAATCGAACCAACTTAAACCGATTAGATTTGGATCGATTCAGTTTGACTATCGAATTAGTACATCTATCAATAATATTATTGACATTTAACTACAGACCTAGGTCAATTGTAATGTAAGTACATTACAACGGGGCTTGAATTCCGTCAATATTGTGTTTTATTCTCTTCTGATTAATTGTTCGAATAAATAAAGAAATTTGGTCCATAAGTACATTCCATGGGCATTATATTTTATTTCATAATAAATGTTATTTTTTCCCAATTAATTTCTTAAAATTATCAATAGCTCGAGACTGTCAAAAACTAGTTGAGATTTGCTATCCAAAATTTGTTGTCCATTAATGAATAATTAACACATCATTTTAAATTAAAGTATCATCTAATTTTAAGCACAAGTGACAGTGGAGCAAAAGTTGGATGTGTTAATTTAAAATAACATGTCGATCATTAATTGGGTGGACAACAAATCTCAATTCGTAAAAAACATGAGTGCGTCAGATTGGCACGTATAACTAACTTTTATCATTTTCTCTAATCAATCCTCCAAATCTAGGTATGAGATCTGGTCATTAACATCAGCACATACCAATAGAATAGTTTAGATCTTGAAAATATAAGAAAGTACAACAATTTTTTGAACGATCATAGGGTAAAAACATTGTTGATCACTGCTTGAGACCAAGATTTTTCTTCTAGTCATCCTCATGACTAAGATATTACCGTAATGTAGTGATGGCAACGGGGCGGGGCGCGCCTCATGACTAAGATATTACCGTAATGTAGTGATGGCAACGGGGCGGGGCGAGGGCGCCCCACCTCTCCCACCCCATACCCCGCCCTGCCTTTGACGGGGCGTGGGGCGGGGCAGTTTTCTTGCCCCGTTTATATATATATATATATATATATATATTTATTCCGAGTTCAATAAAATACGGATAACATTCAAGTTGAACTTTTAATAAAGGATACCCTTACTTTATGTAAATTTAAGTTTTTGTTTTGAGATAAAATTATTTATAGTGTAAAATGATTTTTAGAGAATGTGTGGATAAAAAGTATGAAAAAATTATAGGTTTACATGTAAATTATGTTATTAAAAAAATTGTGATAGAAAATAAGTTTAAATAAAAACGATTTTGAAATATGTTGCATAGATGAACTCTAAATATGTTATAATAGTTATAATTAAGTATGTAAACAAATAATTAACAAACAATTAGCTAATTAGTAACAAAGTGATGATAAATTAAGGGTTGGATGAACAAATAATTAGAAATTTTCTATCTTCATATTTTCAAGTAAAAAAAAAAATTCACGGGGCGGGGACCCGCGACGGGGCAACCATCTATGCCCCGCACGGGGTGGGTTTTTTTGCCTCATTCGGGGCGGGGCGACACCGTGGCGGGACGGGGTAGGGTAAATTGCCATCACTACCGCAACGACACATTGACCCCAGGCGAAAAATTGTGAATCCAAGGATTTCTTCACTACCTGCAAGATGGGATCCCGTTTGGTTTTTATAAAAATCATAATTTTAGTAAATTTTGATTTTAAAAAAAATGTATGTGATTAAAAGTGTCCCCCTAAAATGGATGGTTGAAAATGAGTATGAAGACAAATAAAATTTGAAAAAACGGAGGGCAGATAGGGGCTTAATTTGAATGACGAACGTTAAGGCCTTATTCTCTTTGCTGTTTTCAAGTCATTTTTTGGAAACGGTGAAAGCGCGTTTTCTTTTCCGTTTTCGAAAACCAAAAAAAAAAAAATAATAAAATTGTAAAGAAAACGTAAAACATCAAGATGACGTTTTGCACTTTTTGTACAAAACCCAAAAATGGTTAAAAATGCTAAAAACAGGAGAGAGAAACCCATTAAACCGTCTCTCTTCCTTCAACTGTCTCTTCCCCCTCTCTTCTCGACGTTGGCTTTGGCGTGGGGAGGTGACGAAGGTGATGCGCTGATGTTGACATCGCGCGTGGGGAGGCGACGTTGTTGTGTACGCAACGTCGCGACCCTTTTGTTTGGGCCCGTCTCTATCTCCTCTCTCTTCAACGTCAGCTGCGGCCTGCGGTATGGGGGAGACGAAGTTCGCATGTTGATTTGGTGGTGGTATGTTTGATTGTGGTGTTGATTTTGGTTTTTGCATTTCTCCACTTTCTTCTGTATTTTTTGCGTTTCTCCCCTCTACTCCAACCGTCACATGGTGTTGACTTTGGCAGTGGTTGATGGTGGTGGTGGTGGCAATGGTTGATGGTTCATGCTGGTGGTAGTGTCGATTTTGGCGATGGCGGTGGTTGATTTTGGTTGATGGTTCATGGGGGTGGTGTTGATTTTGGCAGTGATTGATGATGTTGATAGTGGTGGTGGCGGTCGACGATGGCAATGGTGGTTGCATTGATTTTGGTTGGCAGTGGTGACTGGTGGTGGTGTTGATTTTGGTTAGCTTTGTGATGGTGTTGTGGTGGTTTCTTCAATAAAATATTATAAAAAATTATTCTCAAAATTTCAAAGTAAATGCATTTTCCATTTTTGTGTTTTGAGAAACAGTTTTGCCAAATGACAAAAAGAACGTATTTTCAACAATTTCAAAATAGGTATTCAAAACACAAAACCGAAAATGAATTCAAAACTCATAACTACGAAATCGAAATATAAAGAGAACAACCCCAAATTTTTTTCCTAAAGATGTATGCATAGGCTTCAAAAAGGAATATTTTTTTTTTTTTTGGCATAAAACGCGTTTCTTAAACATGACATGTCATATCAAAACATGATAGAAAAAATATTACAATAAAATCACGCTTAAATTATGTATTCGAGACATTTTAGTATTAAAAGTAACTATTTTGGCTCTAAACTGACTTAAATTTTGCTCTTAAATTACCTTTTAATGGAAGGAAGATGGATATCGCGGAGCCTTTCCAAGAACTTTATGCTTGGTTTTTGTATCTTCATCTGCAGATGGAACTTCATCGGCCATCGGACAAGTCGAATGGAACCTCTTATGACCAACTTGAACCTGATCGAAAGGAAAATTCTTGTTACAAATCCAATATTAATGAGATTAAATGATTTTAATGTAGCTGCCATTTGAATTACCTTATTTTCTTCAAATTGATTTTTGGCATTTGAGGATTGTTCATCAATCATCTCGAAATTGTTAGAATCCAGATGCGCTTTTTCACAAATTGTAAGATTCTTCCCAGGAAAACGACTTTTCTTATTTTTCAATGCCAAAAGAAGATTGATTTCATCGATTTCAGCATGAGTCAATGAATCACTAGTCATGACTTCATCTTTGTCGACTTTTCCTTCGAGATCATTTCTCGGTTGAGGACCGAAATCTCGATTACCGAGACTTAGGAGCAACTTTACAGCATCAAACAATTCCTCCTCTTCCGATGTAGATCGACTCAAAGATTTAGCAATTTCGGGCTTCATTCCTCTCCACTCCTCTTGGGAATGATCATCCATGTGTTGAAATAAAGATTTTCTTGAGTAATATATTTCCTTACAAAGCCCACAAATGAATTGTTTCTGCCCCCATCAACTTATTTTTTCGGAATATGGAGTTTTAATTGTATCTCGAGATGAAAAATAACTTTAGTGAGACAATCCTATATGTACATGCGATAATCAAACATGTTCTAAGTTGCGACATGAATTTCCTTCCCAATAAATTTTGCCAACTAAGGTATTTATCAACATTTATTTCGTTCTAATCCTCAGCACTTTTTATTTCCCATTTCATTATTTTTAAGTAAGGGTCCAAAATAATGAGATAGAAAATAAGTACACTTGTTGAAATTAGTATAACCCATACAAAATCTATTAACTCCCTTCTGTTGGATTTCAACAACTTTGAAATAATCTGACAGTAGATTTATCAGTAATGACAATTAATTCCTTAGAAAGAAAAGAAAAATATTTTCAATGAATTGGTATACAACGCAAATTGGATGTTAAATAGAGCGAGTCGTCACCGACTCGTCACTTGTCCCGAAAGCGAGTCGTGAGTGACTTGAACCAAACCTCCATTTTTCTATACGAGTAGCTCATTGTGTCATACGATCTAGCTCACAAGGCGGGCTCACTTTGCGAGTCAACTCTTGACCCAGTTGTTGGCTCACCATATTTGTCCTGAAGGTGAGTCATGAGTGACTCAAGCCAAACCTCGATTTTTCTATGCGAATCGCTTATTGTGTCACACGATCTACCTCACAAGGCGGGCTCATTGGCTCACCCTGCGAGACTCTCGAGCCAGTTATTGGCTCACCATATCTATTTGGCTACCTGAATTTGAAATCCATCTACATTTTATTTTATCTTTTATCAAATACAAAAATAAGATGTTAATTTAAAAAAAATAAAATTAAATAAATATATGTAACAAGCGGTGGGTTGGAGTTTGTCCCCACTTCTTAACATTTGGCAAAAGCATGCCATGCATTCTATTACGTGGTATCGAGTATTAGATTGTTTGGAAACCTGAACATGTAAAACGTTACTATGCTCAAGGAATTAAAAAAAAAAAAAAAAAAAAGGAAAATCGTGCAATGTCGAATTCCTGTCATGCCACGTAGTGAATTCTTAAGTCACGTGTCGAAAAGTAAGTAACATAATTGAAATATTTTAAACACAAAAGTAACTATTTTACTCGAAATGAAGTTCAACTACTAGAATGAAATTTCGCTTAAAGTACGGCTATGACCAACATTATTTTTAGCTTTTAAATTATACAAGTAAAATGTATATCCAGATCCTCCTTAGACCTTAGTTAAAATAAAATTCAAGAACTTCATGTTTGGATTTTCAGTATCTTCATCTGCAAATGAAACTTGGAGAATTCGAGCTGCCGGATGAATCGAATGGGCACATCTTGTGACCTCCAAAATACCTTCTTTCTTTGAGAATTGTTCATCAATGCTCATCTAATCTGATCTTTTCTTCTTATCCACCGTCTGATTATCAGATTTGTGTGATCTGACAAATATCCCAGATTTTCTTGTATTAAATCCGCGTTTTGAAATCCCTTTTCCTTTGCTATTTTCACCAGTTCCTCCATGATTTTCCAATTCTAAAATAGCCCGAGTTAAAGAATCGCTACTCATGGCTTCAGATTCATCAACTTTTCCCCTAAATTATTTACAGTTTCCGGACCAAAATCTCCATTAACAAGAGTTAAGAGCATGTTTACGGCATCTATCAATTCCTTCTCCTCCGACATGGAAACGGGATTTTCGGGCCGAGAACCGTCATCTTCTTCTTCACGTTCATCATCACGATCATAAAAATTACGAACCCTAATTTCAGTCTGAAGCCTGAATGAAGAACCCACAGAATCAAACTTCGCCATGGATTCAGACTCGATTTCTCTCCACTCCATTTCTTGATGGGCCCTCATGTGCAGAAAGAAAGAGTTTCTTAAATGAAATTTTTTCCCACACTCTACAATTGAAGTTCTTTTGCCTCTTCAACTTATTTTTCTGTCGACGATTTTCTTGCTCCATTCATTATTTAGAAAGAAAATGGGAAAAAAAAAATAAAAATAAAACCAAGGAAATGAATCTGAATGGAAATTTTGGAGGCTGTCTCCGTGTGTTTATCCAGTAATATGAAGATGGCTGCAGAGGAAGGAGTGGTGAATGCATGGTTCTTAGCTGCTATATATGAATTTTCTTGTCAATTAAATAATAAACTTCTTTGTTGTTTTCCTTAATGTCAAAATATTTTTTCATGGTTCTTAACTTCAAACTATTTTTTAATATTTTTTAATTTAAATAAAAGTTAATAATTAATTTTAACTATACATTTTCATAGAATTCACTACTTTTTAACCACATATTTCATCAATTTTTATCAAAATTTATTAAAAATCTGATTTTAATCCTTACCAAACAAGGCTAAATATAAACAGTCGGCCACCGATTGATAAAATTTATACTTCTTATGTAGGAGTTTCAAATTCCCCCATCCACAATTTTATTTTTCAATTTGAAAACTTTTGTGCAATAATCGACAACATTTTAGACCTTGGAAAAGCTAATCAGTGTTTATGAAATGCGTTATAGATATTGTAAAAGTAATGTTTGAATATGCGTGAATATTAATTAATTTAGAATTAATATTAGGGAATATATATGTAACAATGATCTTAAATCATTTATTTAATTTTCAATTAAGCAAAATTGAATGTTAATTAGCGTACATGGATGTTCATAATAAAATGTATTTTTGAATGTGAAATTCTAATTAACTTATAATTAGAATTAGTAACAATAAAATACATAAATGAAGATGAATATTAATTAAATGAACATGAGAAATCATACATTAATGAAAGTACACATGTGAAATGAATCTATCAAATGTATATGCACATTGATAGTAGCTAAATGGTTAAATAAATTGAATACATATTGAAAAATGAAAATGTATTATTGAATTATAGTGGGCTAAAATCGTCCAATCACTTAATGTGATATTTAATTTTAATTAAGTAACACTTGATGTTATTTAGCATACATGAATTTGGATAATGAAATGCATTCTTGAACGTAAAATTCTAATTAACTTATAATTAATAACGCTAAAATGTATAAATAAAGATAATATAATTAAATGAATGTAAATGTTAATTAATTGAAAATTAATATTAGGGAATTTAAATATTAATGAAAGCACCATGTGAAATAAATCTGTCAAATGTACATATAAATTAATAGTAACTGAATGGTTAAATAAATTAAATATATATTGAAAAACTAAAAATATGGTATTATTAAACTAATTGAATTGTAATAAGAATAGAATCCTTTAAAAAATTATTTTCACTTAATGTGATAATTAATATATTATTTATTAGCCTCAACCTTTAAAATCAAAAATTTTCATCGTCCTTAAGTTTTATTTACATTTTCGTCCTTTTAATATAATTTCATTAACGTTAACGTCAAATCATACCTGATTTTTGAAAATCTTATGTATTTACTATTTACCTGAATTTCCAATTTGAAACCTCCTATCCGTGACATTTGTGTAATTTTTCATTTTTGTTAATTCAAATGATAATATGCTTCAATAAATTAATCTACAATGCATTTCTCTTTCTTGTCAAGTCGCCAAATAAATAACAAAACATTTATTTTATGTGAATAAAATGGACCCAAGGTACAATCAAATATTCAATAGAATATTATAATTTGGGAATAGTTGAAGTTTTAGAAAATAAATTTTAAACATAGCAAATATTTGTTCATCTAATTATTATATTGATTATGTAAGATTAGATTAACAGAATAAGAATAATAATTTGTTAGTATACCGAGCGCATGTTTGGCTATTATTTATAAACTACTTACAAACATTTAAGCCGCTTTTATACCACGTACTTATCTTTTACTAATTTCTATCTATTTATTATGCCCCTATTTTTTTTTTTTTATTAAAATTCAATTAAAATCTCAATTC